TATATATATATATACTGTATATACACACATACATACAATATAATATACAGTATTTTTTCTTATGATGATATCCTTTTTTGTAACAGACATACAGTTTTACACTGAGCTTTCAATATGATGAGGATACAGGTAAATCACTTCAGAGGTTTCTACTGTAATTGCCAACCGATTAAAAACTTTGCTGAATGCTGCAAATTGTATTGAAGTTTACGCACTGTACTCTGGAACAAATTACAGCTGACCACTTTGGAATTTTTTGGGTCACTTTCTTTGAAACTGCATCAAACAGATGGCGGAAGGAACACAAGTCTGGCAGAAACCAGAGTGTTACATTTGCCTAGCCCAGTGATTTGTTTATCACTGCTTTTGTGGAAAGTACGAGTCCAGGTGTTGTGTTAGACAGATGGAATGGATTTCAATCTATTAAGTAATTTTCAGTTTGGTTGATTGATTTACTAAATTAATTATTTTCATTGAGCCCAATGAACTTGTGTTTAAGTCAAACAATGTAGAGTACAATTTTAATTATATGTAAGGGCAAAAAACATATTCTGCACACATCTCCTACACATGTACATTTCCCTATGTTTTAGCCCTAAAAATACCTAAGTACACAAAAATACCCTCCAGAAATCCATTGTGCTCCTAACTTCCTGTTTGGGCTGACAACATAGCATCTTTGCTGAACTGAAATCCCAATCAGTGTTGTTAGCCCTTCCTGCTGGACTACAAACTTCTACATATCCCCCAACCCTTTCTGTCCCTTTCCACATGCATACATTGACTTCTTTCACAAAACAATGCTGCTGATTCTCAAAAGCCTGCCTGCATACTCAGTGAAGGGTAAGGACTATTGGGAGCTGAAGTTCTGGGAGCATGTCTACATCAGTAGGAACTGACTTTCAAGCAGAAGCCCATGCAAGAAATGTACCATCTTAGTGATGTCACAGGCAGTAATAAAAGTTGTTTCTCAGTACGGGAACAAGGTAGAAGAAAAAATAATGCTGGAACATGCTCTAGATGGGGTACATTTGGATAATGCCTGGGCATGCATTTTAAATAAAACTAAATATTGAAGCACGCACAGGCTCACTAGGCCGCTAACTGATATAGTCTTTTAGTAAAATACACTATCTGTATCTTGTATGAAACTGGTGAAGGAGCGAAGTGAAAATGTTACCCACAGCAACTAAGGTGCCTACAAACTTTAGATGGCAGCTACCGTAGCTGCAGATGCATGATGTGTGTTGTCAAATACACATTTTTATGAATGACTGTCGTTCAAACATGCATTGAGTGAACTTACAATTTGTGTAGAGAGAGAAGGGGGGAACACTGCAGTCTCACAGGTACACAGGTAATCAACAGTGAACGGGATGCTAAGCAATCAATTTTCTGGGGTAGGGAAAGCCTACAGACATTCATACGCTTTCCAATCTAACTATAAATGAATGGACTGGATGACATTTCTTTTTTGCCTATGAACACCTTCAGTAATATTGAGAAAATATAGCTACTTATCCTAATTGTGAAAATAACAGTTATATAAATCTGAGGCAAGTTACAATGTTGAGACTTAAATATAGTAAGGAAACAAGCTGTACTCATGACTAAGTGCAGTGTTCATATTTTTATGTTTCCGGAGCAACATTCACCATATTTATTCCCAGATAATTTTTTGTACAAGTCATTCTGAATTTAGAAAGCTGGTTGGATGACCAGTGAAACGTCTGCAAGAAAAATACAGCAAGCCCAGTTGCCTTGACTTAATGATGATGATACAAGTCCATCAAATTCTTCCAACCAAATTGCTTGATAAATCTTGATTCTGCTTAAGCAGAATTAATAACATATCTGGCAATATATAATACATGACGATTGACTGTGGCACTTCAAGTGAAGTCCTGGTTAACACCCATGATTGCGATGTACAACATTTTAGATGTGCCTTTGGATAAAAAGGAAATATATTCAACAGAATAAGAAAGAGAAGGACTGACCAATGTCCACCCTACTCAATGATCATCCTACTCAGCAGGTCAGAACATATTGTAGGGAATATAGGGGTGGTCAATTTCACAGACTGGTGCCATGATTGAGTAAAAATTGGGCAATTAGATATGACATTTGAGATTACTAAAATTTCTGACCTTATAGTACACAGAAATGTTCACATCACCAATGTTTCTGACAGGTTTAAAGTTGTGCAGGTATCTTATTGTAAATTGTTCCTGGAGAGAAATCTGCCTGTTTATGGGCAGCTTAAATCTTACTGACCATAGTGATTTGTTAATAAAAGGAAGATATCTTTATATCCTCCTTTTAGCTCCTTCAGCTCTCTCCTTGTTCTACAAAACTCTGTCAATTCTTCTCAAAAGACAAGTCAGTTCTTCTTCTATCATGTTTTTCTGTCTTGTCTTTCTCAGATCAGTGACTAGTATTACTGAGAGTGAACAGTTAAATTAATGGGTTGTGGGTAGACCTGCAGGAAGGAAAACAAGGAATTACAAGCACTGATGGGATGGACAGCTTGAAGGAGGAGTGCGAGGGACTGAGCAGAAGGGAGTGGGGAAGGGGGGGGGGGGGGGTAGATAAAGGGAAGGACTATGCAGAGAACACCGGGGGATAAGTGACCAACATCTTAAAGACTAATTTGAGTATGAACTGAGAGACGGAAAAATAAGAAATGTACAATGCTGTGATGAATACACAAAGATCATGTGAGAAAGAGAATAGACTCCTGAGCAGATTTTGGAGGAGACCTGAGCAAGACATGTGAGAACAACCCACAATTAAATCACCTACTATCTTCAGAGAAGTAAATATGCTTTGCAGCAAAACATATGGAGATTTCGAGGAAAATTGAGGTTTAGATGAGCTATAAGGACTAAATAGCATGTCCCAAAATAGGCACTGTATGATGTGCCTAGCTTAGGCTTCTTATGTCTACAACACAGCTGGTGTCCATGATACTTTTTTTGTTTGCACAGTTAATGATTAAGACAAGCTTTTGGGCATCTACGCCCTTCTTCTTGTTCAATGAAGTGTAGAAGAAGGGGGTTGATCCCCAAAAACATGTCCTGAAAAAGTAACTGTTCTTGCAAATATAAAAAGCATCATGGGCAGTGCTCAACTGTCTTGTTGCAAATGCACTAGTATTTCTACAAACACAAGCTTCTTGTGTCTGTAACTCTTTTCTGTCTGCCATAACTGTCAATATTATGTGTGTCTGAATTATGGTGGTTTTCTGTTGAATTCCCTCCATATATTTCATTAAAATGAACAATTAATAATAAGAATTAAAATGTGAAACATACCTTTGAAAGCCCAACTGTCGAAATGTTTTCTCCCATGTTGTACCTATAGTTACAGAAAAAAACATCAGTGTTATAAAAGTAACCTAATTGGAACATGCTTGCCATAACACACAAACTGTAAAGCATATAAAACCCTTTTATTGCACATCAGTTCAGAAATAAACAAATTTGCGCAGTGCCTGCCAAGAATATCATGACAAAATCCATTCCAACTCAGATGAAGAGGAAGACTGCATGGCCTCACACCCTGTTCACCCTGTTTGTCCTCTTATCATACAATACTAGCTCTATATACCTTTACACATTAACAAAAGGACAAGAAAAGGATGTGTCCAGCTGGCTTGTACCAGGGTTATCCACATCACAAGTATGACGCAATAAAAAAAAAAATGGTGGAAATAATAATGCTGTGTTGAAATAAAAGGCCACATTAATAAAAAATGACATTCACATTTTGGTTGAGAACTTAGTGCAACCATCCACCGCTTTCTTATAAATCTTCACAGATGAAGATATATAAGAAATTTGCTGACTTTCCCTTACATCTCTGCCTCAATCTATCTATCTTGCATCTATATGTGCACATAAAGCTGAGCATACAGTAATGTTGTTTGTAAAGTGAGTAAAATAAACATATCAACACAGGGTATATTAAAAAAAAAAAGTGTATTTAAGATTCACCAAACATTCACTGCAGCTGAATCCTGGTGCAAGTGTTTTAAATGACAGTGATTAATCCACCACCAGTAGATGTTTGGTGAAAGTTATATTTACTGCTTTATAAATATGCTCCATACTGTAAATACCCATAAAAGAAAGTATTTTGCCAAAAAGAATTACATTTCCAAATGACTTAAACTTGAGGTATAGAAATTTTCTAATTCACAAAATAGTATCTTAGTTGCCACTGAATCATGTAATTGCTCAATCACACCACACTATCTGGTTATTGTTAATGACACCCCAAACTGAAGCACCTCTTGTGAGATTTGCAAGCACTAGGAATGTACCATATCTCAATGTATTCTAGTTTTGCTATTTTACACAGGACATTTGGTTGCTCTCTGTATTCTCCTCGGTTGCCCAGGCCATTTGGACATGGACATATTGGACATGGATTCTTGGACATGGATGTTGGACATGGATTCTTATTCTGCATGCTATATTGTAACGTTGCATAAAAATAAACAAATGAATGAAAATACAGAAGGTATGATACCCTTTGCAACGGCTGTGGAAGGGGGTGAATCTGAGAACTCTGAAACTGAAATCACCCTGTGTGGTACCTCAACTGAGGAGATTCCCCTTTCCCTGGCATCACATTGATAGATCAGGTTCTACTTTTCAGTAAAGCTATTATTATATCTGGTCTAAGTAAGTGAAAAATCCACAAGATGTGCAGCATACAGCATTTCTGTATCCTGCGGAAAAATACATTTGGGGTGGAGTTGCTCTTTGTAGTCCTTAGCGATGGCAGTAGAAATAGTCAGGAATAATAATTTGGTGTAGCGATGCTTTGGAACGTCTGTGGGTAACTTTGTGGCCAAAGTATTTTCAGCTGAAGGAAGATGTTTTACTGTAACAAAATGTACCTAAATATGGTGCAGCCTACAAGCCAAAGTGTTGCTGAATAACCTTTCTGTAATTGTTGCTTCCTGTTTATATGAGCCACTGTGGTTACTTAAAACATACAAGCATAAAAGTCTACTGCTGGGTACCTTAATAACCCCAGACCATGAACACTAATGTAAACAAGGCAGGATTAATGTTATGTGACAAACAAAATATTTGTAGCTTTAGTCAGAGCAAAATGGTGCAGTAATTCACCAAATTCAACTAATGTTCTCTTTCACTGCTGAATACAGCAAAGCATTCATGAAAGCAGAATAAAGGAAAACCAGAGCAGAATGTAGACCCATTAGTCGAAATTACAGTTTTCTCTGTAACCACTGCAAACTCCAGCTTTGCAATGCCATCTTTACATGTTTAATCATTGTTTTCGAGGGTTAGATATGATATATATGTCAATTATTCTTAAAGTAGTCTTAAACTCAGGAATTAAATCTTAAAAATGCATTCATAACTATTAACAAAAATGTATCTTATTTGTGTATCATTCATCTGTAGATCAAGAAATCATCTCTGAATTGGTTCTGACACTGTGCTTCCTTCTGGAGGGTGGCTACTTTTGTTCTCCATGGTCCTTGTATGTGTTGTAAAGTAGTCACCACTCAACGTTTACACAGTGCATGTTTCACCACCATATAGAGAACAGATGTCTTCAGATCAAAATTTGGATCAAACCAGAACATGAAAGACATATTGGCTCCCTCAATTGCATTCTGCATCTGCTGTGGGAAATCGGAGGTAGGAGATGGGTAGAACTTAGCTGAACATATGCAAGCATTGCTGGCATCTAAGATCCACTGATTAAACTGTAATATTGAAATGATTGTTTATGGCGCCTGGCACTGAAGACTTTGAACAGAACAAATATAGGAAGCAAATGCCTTCAATGTCCTCATTGTTCGTCATTGTCTGCAATTGCAGTGCAGACTGTGGACAGCCTGTATGTATACTATGCAATTACTACACTGGTTTGGGCCTTTGATAAGACACCCCAAAGCACAAAGAACTATGGGGCAGAAATAAGAAATTAATTGAAAAGTTGCTGGTTGTGATTGAATATGTTAAAAGATCTAATATGTTTTTAAAATCCAGACATTCTTTAAATATTAAAACCATCTGTAATGTATCACCAAATTAACACATATCTGCAGGACAATAACTTTGTTTCTACTATGAAAATGAATGTAGATATTCAGTAAAAACAATTAATGAGCAAGTTCGTACTATGTTTCTGCTTGTAACATTCTTTGATCTTCTTAAAGGGATGTGTAAATATTCTGTGCACAAGCAGTTATTAACATACAATGGCAATAATCTTCAATGTATTCTATTAACAACGGATTCATTTATCCATTAACATCCTCTCCCACAGTGCTTGTGAAAAATAAATTTCCTAAAGTGTTATTTACAGCGTTTAATCAGGGAGACATTATCCATTTTTATTCCTTAAATCGTTCCCATTAGATTACCATGCTTAAATGTTTACTTCACATAGAAGACAGTTAATGCCCTTTTGGACCTTTGCTTTTACTGCAGAGACAAAATCACATTTGCTTTTCAGAATATTTATAAGCCAGCAATATACATTTCATAGATGGTGATCATTCAACAAGACCAGTTTTTAACATGATAAAGTCCATTTACAAGGTGTATCTGAACCCAAGAACAAAAATGTAATATATTGCAGCTTACCACTCTTTAGATGTGGTTGGTGCGTTAGTTTTCTTTTTTCAGGCTTGTTTTAGCTTTATTTTCACCTGGTGATTCTAACAGTAACACACACTTTCTATCCTAAGGTAAAAACACTTATTGTATTGTATCTATGGAGGTGCGGTGTTGTCACATAAGACAGAATAAGTTAGGACTACATGAGATAGTTCGCTTTGTCTGCTAATGGTAAAATGTTCACTAGCAATGTCCTAGTCCAGCGGTCGCCAACTAGTGGTCCGTGATAAATTTTTGGTGGTTCGCACAGAGAACTGCAAAAAGAATAAGCAACCAGCCAGGCAGCTAATGAGGCATGGCACCGCTCTAAGCATGACACCCACTTCCTCCAGGCTCCAGAAAAATTTTGGTGGTCCGCACAGAGCCGGCGTTACCACTAGGCAGCCGCACCTGCTACCCCCACACTCCGCCGCACCTAGATATACCCTCTGAACAGTGTGGACGTGGACCACACTGATGTGTGTGCGCAATGCCCACCAGAGACTGCACACCGAAGACTGCAGGATGCCTTCAGATTCCGTTGACATCGTCCCCCCATACTGATGCTGTGTGAGGCGGATGGCCGATTGGATGACGCCGCCCGCCCGCTGAAGAACTGCAAAAAGAATAAGCAACCAGCCAGGCAGCCAATGAGGCATGGCACCATTCTGAGCATGACACCACCTCCTCCAGGCTCCACCACCTCCTGCAGATGAGACGGAGATGGAGACGAAGCTATAAGGTAAGTGAGAAGCCATTTTCTGGAATAATTGCACACACAATGGTATTCAAATCTGTCCTTTAGTAAAAAATGATTTACTATGGTTAATTTGCTTAGCTAACAGACTGTTAGGTAAGTAAATTACCACGGTAAATATTTTTTGCTCAAGTATAGATTTTTAATAACAGTTAGTAACAGTTAACAGATTTTGATAATTTTTGCTGTGACGGTCCATGCTAAAAAAAAACAGCAATTGGTATTGAGGCTGATTTACTAAAACAGCGGTCACCAACCAGCGTTCACCAACCACTGGTGGTCCACGAGAAAATTTTGGTGGTCCCCAGGTCCCTCTGATACCGTGCAGGCTGGGCCGTCATTGAAGCAGCACAGAGGCTCCGGGGCTGCCTCTACATATATATATATA